GAACAAGCTTCCAAAAAAAGTCAAAGGATTGAAACCATTCAGTATATGTTCTCAGAAAGGTAGAAATCAACAAGAAAATGATTTAAAAAAAAAAATTAAACTGCTTAGACATTGAGCAATATACTTCTAAATAATCCTCGGATTAAGGAAAATACAACAGAAATTAGAAAATCTTTTGAACTGAATAATAATAGAAAGAGATAAAACATATCAAAAGTTGTTAGATATAACTAAACAGTGTTTAGAGGAAAATTTACATCATTAAATCCATATGTTAGAAAAGGAGACAGGGCTAAAAACTAGTGATTTGAGTTTCATCTTGCGACCCTAGAAAAAGGTTAGCATATCAAACTCCAACACAGCAACTAGGAGAAATAATAAAGAAACGAAATCAATAAAAAGAAAAAGTTCAATGAAGAATTTAACAAAGTGAATAAAAAGAGGCAGTTACTGGAAAGGATGGAAAGGAGTAAGCCATCAATATGTGGCAGTTACATGATTGTCACTCAAGAAAGGCTTACAGAGGATGTGGACTCTCGCCCTGGAGCAGACTGGTCCAGCAGCTCTGCAGACCCCACCCTGAGTGGAGTGAGGTGAGAAAATTGAGAAAGGGAAAGGACAGTCTCTAAAGCCTGCATGCGTGTGTGCGTGCATGTATGTGTTGTATGTAAACTAGACATGGCTCGACCCATCTATGTGCCGTGGCATACTCCACAGGGTAGGGTGAGAGGAGTCCGCTCCATGGGGAGGAGTATTTTGCCATTAACATTGCAGAATTACTGATGCATAATAACAATAAAAAGTGGGTTTTAGTATTACAAAATTCTCTACAGATAACACTCTCCTTTTGCCTTGCACCCAGGGCCACCCTCCTTCCCCGCTCTGCTTGGTAAGCTGAATCCTGAGTGGCCCATGTGAATAAACAGTCCCTCCTCTCCCAGATTGGGAGCCCCATGGGAACCCATGGCAAGTGAGGATTATTTTGCACCTAGTAGTGTAGCTTTGTGCAGCATAATTTTGTATAGGAAAGGTGTTTCCTACATATTCGATGAATGAATAATTGAATTAATTGTGAAGGCGAGAAAATATGGGCAGAAATTACACAAGCAAGCATTCAGCTCAAACACAAAGAAAACCTTTCCAATTACCATGGTTGTAAAATAATGCAAAACCGAAAACTACCATTTCATCAGAGATCTAGCGGTTCTTAACCTTTTTTTCCTTTGAAAATCTTTGGCAGTCTGGTGAAGTCTATGGAGTCTCAGAATATTTTTCAACTGCATAAAATAAAATATAGGGATTACAAAAGAAAACAATTATACTGAAGTACAGTTATCAAAATAAAAAACAAATCTGCGATGATCAGATCTAGCGGTGTATCTAACCAGGACCATAACTACAAAGTAATGATGAGCACATACGGCATCTTGAAATTTCTGCAACTTCAAGGTGATATAAAAAGTCTGTAATTTCTGTTGGTGACACAGTCACTTCTAATACTGCTGTAGTTTGTTATTTTTGTCATCAGAGGATATGCTAAATTTCAGTTTGTGGTTAGTAAAAATAAAATGTGATTTTTCCCCATCGTCATTCACAGATCCTTTGGGGTCCTAGGTAAGAGCCCGGCAGTAGAGCCAGTGATGTGTCAGAGGGGAAAGAGGGCTAGGTCAGGAGAACATGTCGCTTCCTGCCCACAGGCCTTCTGACCCTTGGTGCCCGCTACCAACATCCTGGAACTGTTCTTGTTTCTGTCCTTTTCCAAAGCCGGCCTGTTCAGCTTTCCCTTCAGTTCTTTAAATATCCTTCCAATAATTTACTCTTACTTCTCAGAGTTAATTTGTTGTTTCTCTATAGCCAGCTGCTTCCTCAGTTCCAGGACCCCCAGCTGAAGTCATGGAACAAAGGGTGAATGTGGGCACAGAAGGTCCAAGCCACTGAGTGGCTGAGTGATATTGGACCCAATACTTAATCAAGTATATGAAATGGGAAGAACAGTTCCTCACAGGGCATGTGTGTGAATTCAGTGAGATGAAATGTCTGCTCTATGAAATCAGGACTTCAATTTTTTTTCTCTGCTGAATCCACAGTGCCTATCACAGAACACAGAGAAAGGGATCAATAAACATGTCTTGGTTTAATGAATATTTTATCCGAAAACACTCCACAAACTCTAAAATGCTACACGAATTGCTATATCCATTATTCCCAGGACAAAGAGAGCTGATCTCTATTCTTCCCCTCAAAAGTTTTGTGTTGGTCTTGCTTCCTCCTTTTTGCCTTGAATCTTTTGCCCTAAATCTATGTTGGAACCTATACAATTTGCCTGCTTCCCCTAATGCCTGCTTTCCTGAAATCAGAAAAGCCACCGTTATTAAGTGGAGGGGCGGTAGGATGGGAAGGAGGATGTCCCTTATTCTTTTTGTCCTCAGAGTACATCTCCACATTCAATAGTTCTGAAATCGATGCTGAGATGAGCACACCCATATTATGCATAAACAGAGCTGTCAAACACTGAGTAAATGTTTCCCAGAGAGCCCAGATAAGAGATAACTTGGGGCAAGCTCAGGGCACAGATGTGGACAAATAGAGGGAAATGGTTTTTCGTTAAAGGACAGAGATCCCTGAACAGCATGGGGGCGCTGTTCCAACCCATAAGGACACCTCCAAGTCCTTATATGAAACTAAGGAAGAACAGGGACGTATCAGCTACAGGTACAGTTCTTAGAGATTAGCAAAGGAAAGGAAGATATTGGCACAGCCTTGTCCTAGTGAGTGATCTCACATGTTTCTGGGTCTGTTAGGCCAGTGTGTCTGCCATCAGCAAAAGGAAAGAAGTGAAGGAGAAAGTTGAGGGGCAGTGATGTTTGCCAAAAGTTAAGAGTTTCATCTTGGAGATCACAAGGTCCCACCTAAGCCACAGGACTAAAGGTTTTTAGGCTGAAGAAAGAGTCCCGGTGCTTCAGC